AAGGAAGGAAGGAAGGAAGGAAGGAAGGAAGGGATTTCCTCCCTCACAATCATATTGGTCCAGAAATATGCTATTTCATGGTTCTGGTTTGGGATTGTTGATTTTTGTTGTTTTGTTGTTCTGCTTTATGTCACAAACTTCAATACAAATATATTAATCCAGCAGGAAATGATGGAGTCCAGAAGGCTGACCAATTAAATTTAGACTCATGAAAAGTCATGAGTAGCTTGGTGGCTAGTAAAGTACATTTTTTATTAACTTGAACAATGTTTCTGTAAGAAGCAGAATTTTTCCCATGAATGGCCCTTATGTAATTTATTTAACTTTGTGAACCTTGCCAAGCCTTGAATATTTTTAGATTTTTCTATTCTAGGATTTGGCATTTCTTTCTTTTTTAATATAAAAGAAAGTGTGATTTTCTGAAATGGTATTTTTAGGCTTCTGCTTGTTATTTTAAACAGTCTTCCTTGATTTGGATTTGCATATGTTGAGCAGCCTCTGCTCAGGATTAGGTCGGTTTTGAAGATGCAGTCCTGAAAATTTTGCACTACAACAATTGCTTTGCATGTGGAAATACAGCTATGCCCCTAAATTAGCACACAGAGATTAGTTGCTACTGTGGAAAAAAATGTTTTATATGAATAATTAGACAAGATAGTGTTGCAATTCCTAGTGGAATAATGTACATTTCAAAAATGAACTTTAATTTCTGTGTTTGCATGTGTGCACACACTCATGTACAACCACAACTGCCTTGTGTAACCATGCGCGCCTTCTCATTCTTGTGCAAAAGATCAGCGCTGGCAGTTTCTAGTTGTTATCTCTGCATTGCTTTTCATGTCTCATGCCACTTGTCATTTATAAGTAAAGATGGTTAGAGTTTTTAGAATACACCTTTGAATATTAACTCCTTTAGCACCTATTCAGTGATGGCAACCATGTTGCAGAAATCAGATTGGATCATAATGAAGTATTTATTAAAATTTATTTTTTAAGAAATGTGGGGTCCAAGGGGGAAGTGATAATTTGGAATAGGGAGGATCCTTTTAGAGACCTCCTCTCTATAAAATCCCTGGTCCACCTTATTCCATTTAATGATAAATTAAATCTACTTGAAATTCTAGTACTCTTTTCAAAGCTCCCTTCCCCCACCCCAGCCTAGAATTACTGTGTCCATTTTCATTGAAACAAAATGTCTAAGATCTTTTGCCATGCTTACTACATCCATCCTGAACAGTGATTACTTTAGTTATCTGGGATGGCACAATTGTTTAACTTGTAAATGGGCAAGTTATCTCAAATACTTCCTATTTACTACTACTACTACAAAAAAACAACACCCCACCCTTAACAATGTGTGTATATACATAGTTGGTGAGATGGAATAGGTTTTAGGAAATTTCCTTCTACTATCTTTCTTTAGTCAGATTCTTGCTTGCATTTAAAAGAATCAACAGCAATGAGAAAATTCAAACAGCTTCAGGCAGGAATAATGATGAATAATACTGCTAATATCCCCCCCCCCTTTCTTTCTTTCTTTAAAATTTTCACAGCTTTGACTTTGGACCATCTGTATGGGAGATGCATGTGTGTGCACGCACACACATACGCACACAAATCTAATGCACAAAAAAATAATGAGACAAAACATTTTAATTGCACCTTTTGTGACAAGGTTACTAAAACAACACTTTTACCATAAAATTTCTACAGTGGGATTATAAAACTATCAGCACTCTGCTATAAGAAAAACAATTTGCTGAACATTAAAAGCTAACTTCAAAAATTCAAGGTCTCTATGGCCAGCTTTAAAACAGAAACCATTCAGGGGTAAGGACAGAGCAGGTTCAAGTTATCTCCATAAGGAGAGAATTCTAGAGAGGAGGAAGTGGTGGAATACATGCTTGATCAATGAACGTATGCCTTGTGGAATTTTGTCTGGGAACACGTAAAAATTAAGTCCTTTCTTGTAGAGCAGTTTGTGTTCCAATCTCTTCCCAGTGGATTTGCTTTATACCTGGCCTTCTGGAGCTCTGCTTTTAACACGTTTTGCTTCTTTTATTTCCGAAAAATGTGTGTTGGTTATCCTCAATGTAGGTTACAAATCCTTCCCAACTATTTTCTTTAACAAGTATCCTTCGCATATTTTAACATATCATGACTATCTTGAATCAGGGCCTTCTGTGTTTCTTCATCATATTAATCTAGATTACACAGATTATACAGATTAGGTTTAGGAGACATTAGTCAGCCACTCTTTATATAACAAGCATAGAAAATTATTTTAAAATGACTGAAATTCCATATAAACTTAGTCTGTGTATTCACACATTTCAAATTCTGGTTCTGGAGAGGACTTCCCCGTGCATCAGTGTCAAGATATCATCAATAATTTATTCTATTTATTGTCAGTTTGCTTCTTTAATCTAAAAGAAAAATGTGTTCAACTAAGCACGTTCTAAAGATATTTAAAAAAAGCAATCACAGCAACAATTTTAAAAATAATATTTCTAATTAGGAGCTCAGTAAAATACTCATATTTAAAACACACATAGTGGAAGAAAAAAATAGAAAGCAGAAAAAAGATCAATAGCAGGATTTCAAATAGCTTTGAAGCACAAGGCGTGTTGAATCCAGACTATGGAAGAAAAGCAGAGTGATTGACATAAATCATACTCCTCATCCAATTTGTCCAGGTTTGCATTTTAAAATGCCTTTCTGTTGTTGCTGAATTTTTTTAAAAAACAATTTCATTCTAATGAGCATCTTCAATTTTGTATGGGGCAGGTAAGTATGTAAAAAGAAGCATAAGATTAAAAAAAATAAAACTGATAAAACCCTACAGAATTATGATTCATTCATTTCAAATAAAGCACAAAGTATGTGTAGTTTGTTGCATTTGTTAGGAATTTTTTAAAATCTCATTATGCTAAAATTAATTAATAATTTGCAGCTGGATATGCCATTTAAAAAATAATAATAAATGTCTCCACTCTTGTTTGATTATTTTTATCCATTCTGGTTTACCTCATGCCATTCTTTTTAATCCATATACTAATTGTAATCCCATTAAAGCAGATATAATTTTATTACCATTCATAGTTTGTCAAGCTAGGAATAACGATGGCTGCTACTGCTGAGTTTAGAGAAAAATAAAAACTGTCACACATTTTCCTCTTCTGATGTTTAAAGTAACTTGTAAACAAAACTTAAGTGGCTGTGTGTGGTTTTGTAAATCTAAGATTAAATCCATACTTCCATAAATATATATCCCATAAACACCCTGTACACTCAAATGAAGGTACATACTACACATTCAGAGCTGGCCACAAAATCTGAAAAACTCAACCGTATGAGAAGCCCTAAAGGACAGAAATACATATAGCAAGTGGATTAAATAGAGAAGCTAGTTAAGTTACACTGGAAACATTAAACATTGAAGAAAAAAATGTTTCTAACACCAAATTATTTACTTCAGATAGGTCTTTTAAAAAGTAAAAAACAAACGCAGCAAGCCTACATCAGATTCTGTGAAAACAGAATGAATGGAAGACATTCTGAAGCATAGCCAGAATCTTGTAAATTTCAAAACCTCTCATTCAAAACCTCTCAAAACATCCATTACTTTTATTACAGTTTTCCCCTTCCAGCTTTGGGGTGAATGGGTGGGGGGGATTGTTACTATTGTTTGGGTTTTTGCATATTGATATATAAAACCTTATTCTAAATGGTAGATATACCATTCTGCTTTCGTAATGCCCCCCTTTGCTTCCAAAAAGATCTTAAACCAAGGATGGGCAACTTGAAATCCTGAGCTACTTTAGTGTCCCATTTTGTGCATGTGTTCTCACTAATGTTCTGCAGCCAACACCTGCTATTTTGCACACCCTCGCTGTCCCAGGCAATTAATTGATTAAAAATGGATGCCATGGATGATCTCTAAAGAACCTGGCGCATACCACCTCCCCGATTTTTCTTGCCAAACACTGTGTCTTCAGCAAGATACCACAAGCACTTGTTAAAACTAACACATGCACTGCAAAGCCCATTCTCACCCTGACACTTCACTTCAGGGCTTTATATAGAAACAGGATTTTCTAGTCTTATACCACCAGCTCCATTAATGCTCACCCCACACATACAGCTACCCTTAATCTGAAAGAGCATTTTGGGGGGAGGGGGTGCTCACCTTTCCCAAGCAAATAACAAGGGGGGGGGGGAGAAAGTGCCTTGTTTGTGCAAAAGAATTTCGTAAGGTTAATGCAAAAAAGGGGGGTTCCACTTTATTTTAGCCCTCTCCGACTAAGAAGAAAAACTCCATCGCCAGAGGGATCTGGGGACAGTAATATTAGTATTTTGCTAGATTTGCCAAAAATATTCATACATGCCCCAAAGCAAGCTACAGGAGTCCCGGGAATTCTGGGTCAGGAAGGGGTCGCCTCCGTTGCACTTCTGAACACCCCATTTCGCAGAGCCCCCTGAAAAGAGTGGGGCACGATTCCCTCCTTCCCTTCCTTCTCTCTCTCCCCCGATCCTATGAAATCTCTCGAGCAGGCGGGCTTTTCCCTCGCTCACACGCGCGAGGCTCCGCCGAGGCAGGCCTCGGGAAGGATTCTCCGCTTGCGGAGACTTTCAGAAAATATCCGCCAATGCACTGTCGGAGAGCGAAGAAAAAATAATAAAATAAAATCACCGAGCCGTTAAAATAAGGTTGCAAAAGAGGGCATTTGGAAAGTAGAAGTAAAACCGTTCCTATTTTTATTTCTCCCTTCGCAGCAACCGATGCAAAGAATCGATCTGCTGCAATATCACTCACACACCCTCCTTTTCTTTCTGAGGGAAAAGGAAAAAAAAAAAGGGCAGCTCAATCGGGCGCCCCTCCTTTGGTGCTGGCGACCCCTCCCTCGCCCCTCCGCAGTCAGGGCGCCCGAGCCTCCCCGCAGCTCTCCAAGGCCCCTCAGATCCCCTCCGCGCCTTTCACCCCGGCGCTCCGCACTGACCTGTGTGCGTAGCCATGGAGATGGGCGAGGGGAAGTATTTCCCGGGCTGGAAGTGTCCTCCGTGCTGCACCGAGTTGTGCCCGGCGGAAGCGAGGCGGCTGGAGCTGTTGCGATGGCCCCGCTCGGCCAGGAGGGGAGGCGGAGGCGCGAAATCCCGGCCATCCATACCGGGGCTGCGCTTCCACGACCAGAGCCCCCGGCAGGAAAGGGGCTGCGGGACGGTCTTGCAGCGGGCAAAGATTCGCCCCCCTTCCCGGGAAAGGGAAATCTGCAGGACGCAGGAGCGGGGAAGGAAGGGGCTCCCCTCAACACGAGGCTAATCGTATCCCTCCAAGAGGCCTCCGCTTCTCGTGGCACCGGCGATCTGGCCTCATTCTCTGCAAGGCAAAAGGAGAAGATCAAGCGCGTGAGGAAGCCGTCGGCGCTGGACGGATTGGATTAACCGCGGACACCGAGGGCGAGGAGCGGCGACCCAGTCCTAGAAGCCCCGCTGATGGGTTTCCCCCCCCCCCAAAAAAAACCCCGAGACTGTGGAAACTAATTCTGCCCCCCACACGCACCGCGCCGCTTTCTACGTCTCTCCCTTGTTTGCCGCCTGCCTTTCCTTTGTCGAAGGGAGCAACTGGTTCTTACGGGCTACATGGCGACAACCAGATTTAAAACAAATACCACATCGAACTCTTTTCAAAAGAAATCTACGTGGAAAAATAGAAAATGCAACAATGCGGCGCTTCCGGGCCTTGTACTTTGGATTACGGCGGCAGCGAAGCGGAGAAGAGATTCAGATAAAGCGAGAGGGCCCGTAAGATGAAAACTGGAGCGGTGGCTCCAGTGTAATGGGAGGGCGAGGTGGTTGGAGGAGGAAAAAAACGCTAAGTTTTATTTGTTGTAGTTCTGTTCAACTGCGGTATTTGTAATTTTGAACTGATCAGTGTTCTGTGATTACTTTGGTTATTTCTTTGCTGCGGTATCTAGACGAAGTAAATCTTCAAATGGACAGTTTTTAAAATGTTAATGTTAGGGTTAATGTCTTTCGTTTGCCCCTATGGTTAAGTGTGATCCCTTTCTATACATATGTAAGGGTGGAAGGAATGAGGGTTATCTTTGGTTTGCTAGCTTCCCAGTTTACAAACCAGTTGCCTTGATGCAATCCAAAAGAACGCGTTTCTTGCGCAGACCCCAGATGAGGGCAAGAGTTTGCTGGGCTTCAATTACTCAAGCTTAGAAATAAATATTTCACTGTAGACACTTGAGTGGCAAAGTCCTGCATTCCTCCTTCAAGGGCAGGGGTTTAAATTCTACAACTGTATTCTTAGACAAAACAGTTATGTAAGGTTCTTCCTGTGCATTCATTCCGTTTACACATAAGGGGTTTCTGGCTTAGACCCAATGTGTGTAACATTAGGCCAAGAGGAAGGAGGGGGGATAAAAAGATTTCAAACCCACCCACCCCTTTCCCCCCCCCCCTTCAGACTTGTGCTGCACTGAAAGATTGCACTAGCTTCTGGATACAAAAAAATGTGCATCTCCCGTATAATAAACCCCTCACTGAGCTATCAATGGAGATCTAATGCTTCCACAGGGGGAACTGAGGGGGACCCACATTATTTTCTTCCTTTACAGTGAGGTGGTGGTTCATCCTATGTATCTGTTCTTATACAGAAGTTGTTTGAAGGATCCATAGCCCATTCAACCCATACTGAAAGTAACTCCATACTGAACATGCTTACTGATTAACAATCTGGGAGAAAGGGAAAACACATTTGCTTACCTTAATGTGTCATGATTGGAACAATGAAACAATTTTTTTTTTTATTTACTGAACACTATTTTAAATGGTTAGGTATAAAGCTTTTAACTCTTAACATTACTCTACTACTTGGTGTTTGTGATTTAATCTATAACTGAAAACAAGGGTATTATTAAATGACTACATATTTGCACAGCGGATAAGATTACACATGCACACACACACATGTGTATATGTGTGCATGCACACAGCTACATAAGAGGAAAAAAGAAATAGGGAGAGCCTTCTGTTGTAAGCAAATGGAACCATTACATATAAAAAGACAAGAGTTTCTTTATTACTGGAAATTTTAATCATCTATATTTTGCAGTTGGGGGAATTATAAGAAAAATGTATATTCTTATTACCTCCCACCCACCCTGTTTAACAGTAAAAAAATCTTTCCAGAGAAGCAGCAGTAAAAAAATAAGACTGGAGGGAGGGGGTCATGGAAGAGTTGAAGCCTGGAAGACAAAAGCGAAATTAGCAACTTCAGCAAGTTTGAATTGATACATCAATATGAAGGGAACATTGTGTATTGGTTTACCTCCCTTCCCCCTTCTTATGATTTTAAAAAATATTTGCATATTTAAGGGAGGAAAGTATATCAGACTGAAATAAACCAGCCGATTGGAAATCCTGATTATAATATAGGTGGAGGTAAAGTTTTAGCATCAGCGTTCCAGGAACAGCACTTTTGCTACCACATACCGTGCAGAGGATTTGTTCTAAGGTAGGATCCATTTTGGCAATTGCTAGAGCCGAAAGAGGAAAAGCCAAACCAACGTTTCTCCAAACCGGCAAGGGAGCTGATGTGCAGCGGGTGGACCCCCCTGATCCAGTCATCTAAATCAGGAACGATCTTGCCTTCGATCTTCCTTGTCTTCCATTCGGCGGGGCCGAAAAAGACGATTCTTTACAAGCAGGAGGACTCGTCGCCGAAGAGAGCGAGGTACCTTACTTTAGAATCAAAAACCGAGCTCGGACTTCCAAAGGAACAAAAGGACGATGTACATTTGCACGGTTCGGTTCCAGCGAGCTACGCCCGCCTCTCTGGTTTTGTTTTATTTGGGGCAAGGAAGGGAACGGGGTGGGGGTGGGGGTAGAATAATCCAGCGGTAGGTTCTCTGGTCAATTGTACTGAGTCGCCAAGGTTTTGCGCGGACTAGAAATATGCTCTACTCTCCAAGAGGTGGACGAAGAAAGAAACTGAAGATCCGGCAGGGTTCAAACGCTTCGGCGCACTGCTCTCGGGCCTTGTCGGAAAAAACAAAAAGGGTGAGGAAGCCTCTGCTGTGCTAAGTCCTTCTCTTAGCCCATCGGAGATCTCTCTCGAGAGCGGCAGTCATCAAAAGGGTCTGCCGCTGCTACAACCCGAAGGCTGCTAAAAAAAACCTCTCAGAGATCTCTCCCAAATTGTGGGGATTTTTCCTCTCCCAGCTAAAAGCATTTGGAACAAATTTCATTTTGTTTAGATATTTAATTGCTTGCTTCCCCCAGAATCGTTTTTTATTGTTTTGCAAAGTAACAATGATTATTATTAATGAAAAGGAAGCGAGGCTGAAGTTGTTTCGATATATCAGATATATCGTGCTGAGAAACAAGGCCACCACCCAAAGCATTTGGGGCATTTTAAAATCAAACGATTATCGCAATCGTTGCGCACAGGCAGAGAGATTGAGAGAAAGAGGAACATGCCGAGAAACAAAAGCTTGCCACTGAATTATTCAGTTTCGAGAAACCTTTTCCGACCGTCAAAAATCAACTATGGTTCATCGTTTTAAACTGAACCCAAACAAATAAGACAGATTTTCTTCTTTTTTACTTAAAAAAAAAAATCCTTGTGAGGCATCTTAACGGCATTTTCCTCCACGGCAAAACACATTTACCTTATTGTGCGGAAGATCAGTTGATACATGCGCACACCCCGGCGGGTAAATAAATAAAAATGCGTATTTTTTATTGTTTTCATTTTTCATTGTAATTTAGAACCCTCAGGAATTCAAGTATTTTCTGATGCAGAGCATCTTGAACATACAGCAGGAAGGAATCAAAATCACAAGATCTATATTATGATTCTTTTGAAAGAAAAATGGAGGCTGCAAATTTACATGAATTCCTTTTGCCACAATACCTATTTGCCACAATGCCCGTTTGTTTTCCTTGCAAAGCAACCATTTACAGTTCCATTTTTAAAAAGAGCAGACAGACTGATTAGAATTTCAGGTAAGAAATATGCGAACAATCATAGATTTTGTTAGCACTACACGGAGCAGTGCACAAAATTTCCAGGAAATAGAAAGACATTTAAAAAATAAAATACGAACATGCATATATCTGATAAGTTTGCATTTCGTTAAAAACAATATATACTTCCTTTCCCAAAGGAAGTTTTTTTAATCAATTTAGTTTGAGGAATGGATAATTGTTACATTTTTCAATCGCCAGATATTGCATTGCTTTTAAATATATACATTTTTTTGCAGCAATGGTTCCGCTTATTTGTATAAGAATGACCATTGTGCAGGTATACATATTAACAAAAAATAATTTATCAAAAAATCATGAACGTTCGAAATGCTAAATAAATTTTAGTTACTTACTGGAGGGAGGGGTGTTCCTTTGCACAGAGGGAACGCAATACAATTAAATCAGTGAGTGGGACTTTGTATTCCTATTGGTATTTGCACTGTGCTGACTGTTGCACTGTAAATGCACTGGCTGCTGCTCCTTGCAGAAAGGAAAAAAGACCCTGTCGCGAGCTTCAGCTTCCCCAGCCTCGTATCTCAGTCCTACAAGCAACTCTCCCTTGCATACTAATAAGCTCGTGCCACTCACTCAGAGTGAGCACGCTCACTGATTGGACGCCTTGTCCTCCACGGTAATAAGCTCGTGCCACTCTCTCTGCGTAAACAGGCTTCCCAATAGGTTGGCGTGGGGCCAGGGAACTGCCAATCAGAGAACAGCAGGACTACTACTCAATCTCATGGCGCCTAATTCAAGTCCCTACAGTTGCGCATCTCCCCTCGCGCAGCTTCCCTTTGCTTAGCTGAATGGAAATGCGTAACAATGCGAAGCGGGAGGGAGGAAAGAGAGGGGAGAAAGGAGAGAGAGAGGGAGAGAAAGAAAACCTTTGCAGAATGGGGTTAGGGAGTCCCACCAGAAAGCTGCTTCAGCTCGTAGCCATGCACTCACGCCAATCAGCTGGGCAGCGAAGGGATACTTTTTGGTACTCCTTTCGCTTTGATAAATTGGCCGATGCGCTACAACAGCAAAAGTGGGTAATCAGAGCACTGTACAGATCAGGACGTCAGAGACTGCGTTGCCTGCCCTCCGGCAGCTTTTAAGAGTTACTTGACAAACGAAATACCAAGAGACTTAGAGCGATTTAGGTCCTAAGTATGCTCTTATAGTTCACTTGAGTCTTCAGCGCCTGTGGATTTGTCTTTAAACAAGTCGAAGAGCCGAATCGCTTTGCCGCCACCCTAAATGGGCGTTTTGCAAGCTCAGGAAAGTCCCTTTGCTAGGTTTCTTGCTCACAAACACATGCAAAAGTCCTTTTGTGGTTTATCAAAACTGGAGGTTTGTTTGTAATACGGTCGTTCTTTCCTTTCCCTTTTTTGTCTCCTACGCTTCACATTTCCGTTAAGACTTCCTACCCACCTCTAACACCAACATATGCTGTAAATTGCCACTTTTCTTGTAAATAGGACAGTCATAGACACGTTTTCCTCGCTGTATGATACCATCGCTCCCAAGGCCCATTTTAACGCTGAAACCACACTGCATAAAGACTTCAAACGGCTTCGTACCGGCAATTGAGAGGTTAACCGCATAGGCTTTAGTTTCTCTCCCACCCCCTTCAGTCTTCCCTTCCCTACTTCCAGGAGACGCCTTGATTGGTTGGCAGTCTCCCAGCCCGCTGTCCATCATCCAGTGTAAACAAGGCGCTGATTGGCTGCCCGCCAGTCCACACTGGACTGCCTGAAAAAAGCAATTACTGGCCCCGCGGTTTGCAGGGGGCCCGGGGCTGGTTTGATGAAAGGAGATAAGCTGGGGACTGTTTCCAGCGCGCACACACCCAATGCACTCCCCCCCCTTCCCTGAGGCAGAGCCTACTGTCCCTTGAGCCAAAAGAAGGTCAAAGAGTGGAGAGGATCAAAAGGAGGAAAGAAAAGGGGAAACGGACTGAGTCCCTATTAGCGATTTTGAAAGTAAAGCCATTCATTCAAGGCAGGTTTGGTGCTTCGGTGACCGGAGGGATCGGGGGGAGGGGCGCACTGATCAGCGGGGACTCCTCCCTTTACAGATTCGGGGTCTAAGGACTCGGCGGTGCAGCTACGTAGGATAAGCAGCAAAGCTAGGAAATGCCTCGCTGTTAAAAGGAAGGGAAGGCTGCGAGAGAATGCCCGGGAAGCCGTGAGCCGACTTCTCCCTCTGGATAGAACTCGACGCTACGGAAAAGTCGATTTCATATGCCCCGCTGCATTTATAACCTCGGTCCAGAGCCTCACAAATTTCAGACAGGAGGAGCAAACTGGATCCATCTTGAGTGCGCAAAAGTCTACGCCTCCGGGAGAACGTCCCGCTTTGGCACAGGCGGAATCTATAGCGAAGCTAACCGGGAGAAATGTCAGTTCCAGCGATCGAACGAGGTTGAAGAACGTGTGTGTGTGTGTGCGCGCACACGCGATGCCATTGCAGCGGCTGGGAGGCTCAGAATTCTCTCCAGCCCCCCCCCCCCCTACTCGTGATTACGATTATTTTAAAAAAATTAAAAGGAGCCTAATTGATTTAAAAATGCAGAATAAATCAAAATAACCCGTAAGAGATATTAGATTACAATGGAGCTATTCATTAACCAGAGGGGCGAATTAAATTAAAAAGCAGCGAGTGAATATGTGTGTGTGTGTGTACTCCATACTTATGTGTATGCCTTAGTTAAAGGAGAGTGAACTTGAGTTTTCGATGATGATGATGGGGTTTGCTAAACTCATGCACCCATTGAATATCCAGAGGAGAAAAAAAAAATCCCTATCCCAATATCCCAACCCTCTATATGCTGATAAAATACTCAATTTGATCAGCACCTTCCAAGTAGTGGTGAGAGTTTTTCATTATTAATACTATAGCTGTTCTTTATATCACATTGTTAATGGATTAATTATTGTAAGTAACTTAAATAACAAAAGCATCCACAGTTTGCAATCTTGTGCCCAAGCCAGAGTGGGCGTTTGAACAAGATGAAACACCAAACATGCTAGGCCCCAGTTACTTTCCAGATATTTTAGACGAAAAATTACACGGAGAGTGCAAACCTGAGACTTTCTGCTAATAAATATATGTTCCAAAAAGAAATTACAAACACACAAAAACTGAATTTTAAAAAGTTAGGCAGGGGAATATATAATTCTGAAAGGAGCCCTATTTGTGGCCAGGGGGAAAGAAGGAGGGAGGGAGTGGTTCCTGAAAAGGAGAGTTGGGGCTCGTAGGTCTCGTAAAGAGGGAAGAACTGAAAGCAAAGGCACTTTTCAATTCATCCCTTCTGCTGGGAACACAAGGCCCTATCAGAAAACCTATAGGTTCAAAGCAGAGATTTGAAGGAGAAAGAGGCCATTCTACAGGCAAAAACTAAACAGGAAAAAACTACACTTGCAGCAGCAAATCTGACACATTTATGTTTATATACATACACACACACAGAGGAGATGACAATGAGAGGACAAGAAAGCTGTGTGTCTGTCTGTGTACGCAAGCTCCGAAAGTCTTCAACCCGCTCGATCTTGCTGTTTATCTAGGCCCTCAGCCAGAACATCCACTGATAGGCGTGGGAAGGGGTCAGAAGGGATTCAGTTGGATCTGTCTGCAAGGCAGAGTGGGCCTTACAAAACAACAAGCTGCTGCAATGCCTGGATTACCTCCCCACATTAGAACAGGATCTTTAAAAAAATGTGAAGCAACTTTTGATTCCTGCAGATTCTTCTGGGGGGATAGGAGCCATGATGAAACAGAACTTGTTTACCTAAATGATCTTAGGTCCCCCCCCTGTCTTCTGAAATAAAACCGGAGGAAGAATAGGGACTGGGAGTTTCCAACTGGTTGTGCTGCCCTTATTTTCCTTTAAGGTGTCCTGTATTTCCATCTCTAGATTGTCTTTCTGCTCCTCCTTTTATTCCCACTCGGGCAGAGAGAAAATTTCTCGCTCAGTTGGACAATGGCTTCCTAGTCGAACCAGCCTCTCCCCGACCTCACTTCCATTTCCCTGGACAGAGAGCCCTTCAGTGGCCCCACGGGATCTGTCTGCAAGGCAGAAAGGGCCTTGGTACAAGGAATCCTTGCTGGTTTCCAAGGTTTGGAGTCTTAAAAGACTTAAGGAAGACTTAACAATTCCATCTCTTTTCCATGCAAGAGAGGAAATGCCACCTCAGGGTACTCTGCCTTTTGCGATAGAAGAATATTGGCTCTATTCAAACATTACAGACACAAATTGCAACGTGAACAAGAGTCACCCACTTGATCCTAAATATATTTGCCCGGAGTAAGCAAGCTGGCTACTTTGGCGTGAATTTCTTTATATTTCTTTAATAGGGATTTATTAAATTATTTATTTACAATCTTGGAAAGCAGTGCAACAGCAGGATCCTCATCCTATTTACCGAGAAATAATTGCCAACTGGCCGAGAATACCTTCCCAGTTAAGCAAAACTGTAGTGCCAATGTCCCTCCAGAGGAAGTCACTTGTTTCAGTAGGTTTAGGATCACAGTTTTAAGTCAAAATTAAGTCTGTGGTGCATTGAAACCTATTTAACTTTTCCACAGGCAAATGTAGCTAGTTTGTGAAGGAAGCAATTTCCCCATGATGGTGAGACAGCAAATCCTGTTGCCTTCAGTGGGTTTTCTCCAGATAACATATAGGAAGGCTGCAGGATCAAATACTCTACAGGCAGATTCCACAAAAGCCAATCCTTTTAACTTTGAATAGATTTCTGGGCCTGGTGCACAGAACGGCTCCTCTTGGTAAACTTTCGGGAGGAACACTGATCCAGGAGAGGACTTCATCCACTGTTTTGAGGTGTATATTTACTGATTGTTTGTTTGTTTGTAAGTGCATGGAGAGATAGGTGTAAGTTGAGGTATAGGATGCAACAGTAGTTCCAGATTTATTTTGTTGTGAGTTGGGGCCAGGAAAGAAATGGTTTAGGGTGTTTGTTCTTTCAGGTGGTGTTTGGTTGTGAATGTGCCAGGTCTCTGCAAAAGCAGCAGTTGCCTTGCAGTGGCGAATGGATGGAAGGGTAATTAATGCAAAGTGACTGATTGCTCTTGAAGAAGGCCGGTCCAGCAAAGGAGATTGTCCCTGGTCACCCAAGCGTCTCCTGATTGACAGTCTCTTTTCCCTCTCTCAGCCTAGGGCAAAGTACCCCAGTGCTGCATATTAAGCCCAGAACAGCAAAATCTCAGATTGTTTGAAAGCTTGCTTTTATTTTGATTTTAAGGTGACTATATTCAGTCTAATTGTTATTGGACTAGGGAATTAAGTATTATTTTGTTTGAAAATTAAAAACAAATGCCAAGGTCACAAATTAAGAAATAGGGGTAGGGGGGAGAAAAAGAGAGAAACAAAGCATAGGCAAGTAAGGCAGAGGTGGACATTGGGGCGGATGAATGCAATTGAAGAGAAAGGAAATGGGGAAATTGGGCTTGGGTTGGTTTAATGTATAAATAAATTAGCTTCCTGCACCTCTCATTTTTTTGTAACCCTTTTAAAATTTGGATTAAAAAACAATCCTTGGATATTTCCTTTTTT